GTAGAGAAAGCCAGCGACCGACGACGGGAGTTGCATCTGCAGAATGTCGCGCATCGGTGCAAAGGCGCACCAGATCGCTCGGACGTATGGGCAGCGCACAAGAAGATGATCGTACGTTTCACGGGCTTGCGCATCGCAGAGAAGGCAGTGTCGGGCATCGCGGCCGAGGAAGTGCAAGCTGGCTCGGACGGCAACGGCTTTCAGCGCGACCCGGTACACGAAGTCGCCGTATCGTGGAAGGACGTGGACTGGCTGCCGTAGAGATACAAATGAGGCCGCTCGGCCCGGGTGCTCGTAGAAGGTCGCTGGGACGCCGAGGTGTTGCACTGGAAGCACACGCCAGTCAAAGCGCGGTCGCTGTCGGAAGCCGGTCAGTCGGACGTCCATAGTCGCCGCGAGGACGACACGTGGTCCACCAACGGCCATAGTAGCTCCCGAAGTACACGCCGCCTCTCGTAACAGCAAAGTACCCCTGCGTGGAGGAACGGCCGCGTGTCATACCAGCAGCTCGCTCATCGGTGCTATCGTCTAGCGAAACGGCGACGACGCTGGGCTGATGCACACGACTTGAAGAGAAGGCGACATCAACGGGCCCACGTCGCTTCAAGCAGGTAAGACGACTGCAGCCAGTGTGCTATTCGCAGACGAAAAGTCGTACTAGTATAAATCGAGACGATGCTGCAGTTGCCAGGATCTGACGGACCCTCGTCATCGATTAGCCACCCGATAGCGATCCATCGATCGCCGAGGTGTTGTTGTGCTTGCACACAGACCAAGACACGCGGCCCGTCGAGGCGCACGGATCAAAACGACAGTGGTCGACAAACCAGACCGACGAGCCAGACTGGTCGGACCGAGCAGGCAATCTCGTTCCTCGTCCATCTACCAAGGTATCACGACAGTGCACCCACGCGGTTGTGTCGCTGAACAAAAAGGGGGCAGAGCGTACCTGGCCTCCTTGCAAGGACCTTTGCGTAATCGCCCAAGGTATTTGTGTCGAGTCTCAAGGAACCGACCTCTACTCACAAGTCTGGTAGGTCGATGGCTAGCGTCGCATTTAGGCAGCCGCATCGAACGACGTGTCTCGATTCGCACGAACGACGGCGCGTGTCGGCGTCCTTGCCCCTGGGCTCGACAGCTACAGTGTTCTCGGAACCACAGAGCTCATCGACCAGCGGTCCAACGGCGTTGTGAGAACGCTGCTGCGGCAACGCAACTCGTGCGAGATACCCGGCGCCTAAGTCGTGCGGTACTTAGACCAATCGCTCCCTTCTTTTTCTCGCGAAGTCCCGATGTCACGACACGTACTGACCCGACTGCGTCCGACCTACTAGTACTACGTGTCAAGGCCATTTCGTACTTCGTACTCCAGTCTTAGATTGCATCGCTTACTAACGTGGAAAGGGGCCTGCGATGCTTGATCCAGCGTGCTTCCGATACCGGTACAAGCTGACGAACCTCGGTGGACGAAGACTCATAGACAGGCCTTCCTTGCCATGTTGCAATATCACGCATCCTCAAGAATGACGAATGATCACACCTCACGTCATCTTGAGGACAGAGCGTCCACAATGTCATACGCGGTAACTTGTTATACGGGACATCGGCGCAGATCCCACGCCACGACTCATGCCAAGTCGCGCTGGATGTTGCAAAGGTCACGTCACAGTCTCCGATCTCGTCATCGCACACAAAGCGTGTACGACAAGAGGTGCAAGGGCAGGTTCACGTAGCTTTATACGTCAAGCTTTTTGCCGCCACTGACGCGTCGTCATCGTCGTCCGACAACAGCCACGGGCCGTGGACACGCGCGCCGTCCATGGCAACCGCCGTATCTTCCAGGCTGCCGAGGAGCTCTGCCATGCTGACGGCAAACGCGACGTCCGAGTGCATGGACTGGATCTGGCACGTGTCGTGGCGCACGATGAGCGTCAGCGTCATGGGTGCCTAGACATTCGATGATACCACCACGCTCGATAGAAAACACTTACGCACCGAGAGCTCACGCCCGACGAGGCGCTGGACCATGTCTTCTCGGGCCAAGACGTGCGGGAAGAGGCACTCGAGCGTCCGGCGGTGGAGACGCAAGCGCATGACGCTGTTGCAGACGACGATGTCAGTCGTCTCGGCCGGCGAGACAGCAATGTGGCGACACGTCATCTCGAGCCCCGCAAAGTACGTGACGTACCGGCGCCACTGGCCAAGGAACGCGTCGACGCCGCCATCGCCCATAAAATCAAAGCCGTCGGCCGCGAGCAGCGATAGCAAGGCGGCGACGTCGTGGTCCGTCGTAATGCCAAAGCGGCAGACGTCAAAGTACGCGGCGCCGACACGGGCGCTCGTCGTGTAGGTCCAATGGCTCGCTCGGGGCGCCGGGTGCATGATGGCCCAGGCCTCGGCGCTGGCCCCTCGAGCCGCGCCTGTCTCGCGCCGGAGCTCG